CAGGCATTGCAGGACATGTATACACAACATGCATACAGGCAAAACACTCATACACATAAAAATTAAAGATAGCCGGGTATGGTGACACACAACTTTTATCCCAGCACTCGGGAGGCAGAGGCAGGCAGATCTCTGTGAGATCGAGGCCAGCCTGGTCTGCATAGTGAGTTCCAGGACAGTTGGGGCTACAGAGAGACCCTGTCTCAGAAAGACAAAATAATAATAATAATAATAATATAGAGATAAATAAAATTTTTTAAAAAGAAACTTTTATTGCCATGGTTTAGATTATAAATTTTAAAATATTACTTTGAATTTTAAAGATTGCAATTTCACTACTGTCTTTAAATTCTCAAAAATGTATTCATAAATATCTATTATTATTTGAACAGCCTCAAATATGACTCACAGTAAAAGAAAAAAATTGCCAAAATGATGTTTACACCACTGAAATGTGGTCAAACAGATGGCAGAACAGCAGTTCAAGAGCATCCCAGGGATGCTTTTCTGAATTTGACCAAAACTGCTTTACTTATCCACTTCACTGAATACACTGGACTCATCACCTTGTCAAGATGTCAAAATGTGCCACAAGTCTGAAAGCATGCTCGTGTACATGTAATGTTAAACATAAAGGAAGCAAATAGAACAAAACCCCTCACTCACTCCTGTTCTAAACCACCAGAAACTCTCTCACTCTATGTGCTGAGAAGAGATTCATAGCATTAGACAATAAATCAGTTTTATATTTATTCCAAGAGACACCATTCATCATAAATACCTATAATCTTGGATCAACTATTAATAACAGGCTTAAATTCCCAGTCCTCTACTTAACTGCTTTGCCATTTAACTTCCTTACTCAGGCTAGAAATGCCACTGGTGTCAAGGAGTTTAAATTATAAATTATAATTGTCTCAAGAACTAAATATGGTAGTTCAAGACTTTCACATCAATTTTCTCCTGGATGTAATTCAGAAACCATAGCTATCTCCAATCACTCCTGCCCTGTCCTGTTTGTTTTTCCCTTTTCAGATGTTACTGAAAAATCATATGTCTTGTTCCCTGGCTAACACATGCAGATTCAAATATCAAAGGGCATTAGAAGAGGGAACATTAATGATCCACTTGAAATAAAGTTACCATAATCTAAGAAAGCATGAGCTAACTTTCCAGAACACCAAACCAGCACCCTCAAATTTATAACCATAAATTGGAAACTGAAACATGGGAAGACAGGAGGAAGAAATCAGTTTTTGTTAGGAAGATGGAAGACACAAGAAGAAGCTTCAAACTGCTGCCTCAATTATACATTGGAAATGTTTGTGGTCACCTTATGGTAATATACTAATACTGTTTCCAGTCACTTTATGACTATTCTTTTAATCTGGAGTACTAAGGGACTACAAAAAGCTGGGAGGACTTGGAATGGAATTAAATGGGATTCCCAAACCTCCCATGAGCATTCTGAATGCATGCTTACAGAAGTCTGGGAAGCCTGCCTTCCACTGGGAAGGAAAGGGAATTCCAGAGCCTTCTGCTCCCATTACAGTCCCAGGTGTGAGATATCAAATAAAGTGTTCGCTCAGCTGACCATGCAACCACTCGTAGACTGTGTCATCTGCTAATCACTAGGAACCACAATTTTCAGTTAGAAGTAACTCAGAACACTAATTGGAGTGTTTTAGGTTTCAGCCCCTCTAAGTGGCATTAAGAGCACAGATAAGAAGGACCCTGAGCTAAATATAAGGGTATTTGCCAAAAATAGGGCCCCATGGTGTTCTTCTAAAATAAAAAAAAAAAAAATGAGATGAACATACAAATTTAGACCATGACTGAAGTTCTCTTAATTTTAAGATTTGGAACCTCCACCCAACCCTGACACTGTGTGCCTGGTCCACGTGCCCTCTCTGCAGCTCATAATTCAATGATGCTCCTATCTGCATCCAGAGGCTAGACTCCTTTCTTACAAAGTCCTTCCCTCCAGACATGGGAATGGCAGGTCCAACGTGAGTTTCAACTAGAGGCTGGGTTTTAATTTTGCTAATAGATACCATTTACCAGTACAATAGATGACCAAATTGTAAATCCTTTATTTGAAAAAACCAAGAAAGGTGTTCTGATTATCAAACATTTTGCTTGCAGTTAGTGTTACATATGCCATTGGTTTACCACCAGTGTTCAGAGAATACTTAATTTAATGATGATGATATATCATATTCTGATATTATAGCATTGACTTATTTTCTGTCTCCTCCCAGTACTAAGCAGAAGCCCTGCCGTCAGAACAGAATTCTGCCAGTCTTGTTCATTGATGCCTGACATAGCAGATACTTAGCATTTGTTGAGTAAATCAACATTAAAATAAGCATCATTTGAGCATTTCTTCAGAAGGTACTTTAGAGTTGTGCCATTTCCTGGGATTACATGTGCTATGCATGCACATGCATGCTCTTTAATAAAGTTAACAGACTGCTAGATAAGGGGGCTTATTGAATTTTCACTTCAAATAGTTAAAGCACTGATTGAACAGGAACTCACACTCTGCACTTAGTTGCATGAACAGGCAAGTGGATCGAAGTATCTAACTATAATCTCTCTTGGTAGGAGATTCCAATCCACAACATGTAAAGAAGTTGGTAAAAGCTTTCATTTCTTTTAGCTCTGAGGGGCTCTCTGAATCTCGTTCCTATCATAGGTAAGTCACTGACAGAAGATATCAGAAGTCATGCTCTGAGGTTACAGAGAAGTCATGCTCTGGGCCACAGAGCTGGAAAACACATAGCAAAGTTTAGGATAGCAAGGACAATCCTCAAGATCAGTACCCTCATGTAACAATTTTCCTCTATGAGAAATACTTGTGGGAATCAGCCTTGAGGTACACAGGTGCAAGCTTCCCATCAATAGTAGGGCAACAGCCACTAAGACCCTCCTGAGGCACTTCCTCAACATCATCTCCACATTTTCTTGCAAAATAAAGTCTGACTTGATTGAATTAAGGTTTTAGACCTAACTCCTATTTACCTGGGTTTGAGGTATCAAAGAAGACGACATGAGAAAACAATAAGACAAATTTTGGATTGGGGAAAATTGAGCAGGCCTTTTAAAGAAGTCAGCGTCAAGAAGAAGAGAAGGGAATCGGGGAAGGAAAGCGAAGAGAGACGAGAGACACAGAGAAAAGCAGGGTGAGCTTTAAGTAGAATGACCAATATAATACGTTTTGTTTTTATTTTCACCAGAGCTTGGTTAGAAAAGAAAATCATACCTTTAAAACATATTTTAGAACGACTGGAGGAATATGAAATCTGTACTGCTTACTACATGATATTAGGTATTATCACTCATTTTGTATGTGACATAATGGTATAATGGGTATGTAGCAGGACACTAATTTCCTTGAGATACATCCTGAATATTCAGGATAAAATGTCATGATGTATTTCATTAACATTAAAGTGGTTCAGCAAAAAAGCAAGGATGGAGCGAACTGGCTGCATGCTAACTGCTGGGCTGAGCGTCGTGCTTACTGTACCATTATTTTGCTTGAAAAACTTTTATAAATTGTTCTAATGTTCATAGCAGCAACTTCTCAAGAACTTCCTTCACAGCACTGCAGGTTCCTAATTAAAATGCCTTTTTTGATATTTCCTCAAACCACCCTCTATAAGAGAGAGTAAATGACCGTAGAGTAACTATAATGACACACATCGCACGGTTAGGAATGCTTTCCTTTCTTAAACCAGTTTTCCAAATTCCCTTTATGAAAAAGGCTTTTCAGTTTACCTTTTAAAATGAAAGACCCCCAAAAAAGGCTTATTTGCCTCAAGCCTGGTCCCTTCTAATTGACAGAAAACCTCTCCCACACACCTCACAAAAACTGATTTTCACTTTTCCTTCCTAAAACTAGCTTTTGTCTCTGAACGTTATGGAGCAGTTGGAGCTCTTTAATATTTTCTAAGAGAAACATTTCAAACAAGTAACCCCGCAATTTCTTCACTACTGCCAAGAATAAAAGTAACAGGTTTCACCAGCAAGGCCTTCCAAGGCTTCGCATGACTTTTAAGGCTGAGCCTCACTCATTCACCTGCAGGCTGGTTCCCTCAATGCATCTGTCATTTGTTTGGCTCTGGGGGAAACTATTTGATTACACAAAATTCTTTTTAGATCAAGTTGGAAATTTTAGCCACACTGGGACAAGTGGCGGAGCCTGCCAGCTCAATGGGTTAACTCCTGGACACACTGAGCCAGGGACAAAGACAAGGAGCCACCACAGGTTAAAATCCAAAGCTAAAAGACCTGAAAGGAATGAGCATAAAAGACGCAAGGCTCAGCCAGGCCTGTATGAGTGCTCTGTCTGCCATGACTGCTTATATGAAGATGTATTCCTCACTTCCTATAAATGAGCACCGTGCCCTGAGGGATGCTGGGAAGCATCGGTAAACTCAAGAGCCAACAGGACCAGTGCCATCCATCCACTGCTGTGCCACCTATATGCCTTTTGAAGTTGGGAAAAAACAGACATCTTTATGGCCCTCCATTTCTCACATCTTATTACAGAACACATCATTTCTAAAAAGCATTTAAATGAACCAGATGTTAACCCCATTCATTCCACTTTCTCTGGGAACGTGTCAATAATGATTTTTAAAATGCAAAAGAAAATGTCAAAGTATTTTGTTCCCTGGTTAAGAATACATCTGTGGAATAGGAAAGAGAAAATTCATAAAACACTCTATGGTCATTCAAGAAATAATTATAAGGTATGTCAAAACTACAGAAAATCGAGCAAGCACTAAATTAAAAAAAAAAAAAAAAAAGGATGCCTTGTGTCAAAATGGCTTTTTCACTCACTCATTTCAGAAACAAGTTGTGAAAATTAAATTCCATCCACAGCTCAGAACAGCACACATTAAGGCTGGACTATAACGCTATTATCCATGCAGTTCGCTCTGACTCTCACTGGAAACTACATTAATTGACAAGGAAGCCTTGGGACTCACCTCCCATAGTGCCTTGAAGTCCTCCTGCTCGATGCGGAGCAACTCGCTGCTCTCCCTGGTAACAATGGTTGCATGGCGGGGTGTGTTGTCCAGAATGGACTCTCCAAAGGCTGTCCCAATCCCTAGGGTGCAGATGGTCACAGCATCCTGAGAATTGAAAAAAACCCAAAACTGTTATCAGAAAATTAAACATGCAATGGATGAAGGAGTTGCCTTTTCTTTAAATTTGGGTTAAAAACACCCAATTTAATTGTGAAGTTCAACATATTTCAGCAAATATATACACTGGTGTTATCACTACCTGGATCAAGGCTTAGAATAACTTTTCTTTCACTTCCTGAAAGTTCCTTTGTATCCCCTATCCAGTCAACACGTTCCCCTCAGAGGAAATCACTGCCCTGATTTCTATACTCAGAAAAGTTTCACCTGTTGGAGAACTTCACATAGAAAGAGACAGCCGATAGACTCTAATCTGTACCTGGCATCTTTTGCCCAACATATATTTCTAAGAGTGGCCCTTGTTCTCACATGGATCAGTAGATGTTTTTCCTCTTGGGATGAGTAGTTTTGTAGCATGTGGCCATGCAACCATTTGCTTATCCATTCTCTTACTGGCAACACTGGGTCGTTTCCAGTGTGGGGATAATATGAATATGATTAATGAATATGGCTGCTAACAATAATCTTATCTTTTTCTACAACCACTAGTTCCTTTAAGAAAAGAAGGAACACCACTGAAGACAAACTCAGACTTTTTAGTGGAAGTAAACAATCACAGTATTTAGGAAACTGGAACAGAACTGCTACTCTGTCTGGGAAATGGAGGGTCTGAATAGTAGATTTCACGGGACCTCAGTTCACACAGTAAAGAAATGGTACAGCCAGATTATTCTAAGTCCATCTGACTAGAGATTACAAGCTTTTTGTATCATGCTGCCTCCTGCAGCTACATCAGTGTAAGAACAGCACCCAATGAAGTGCAGAGTGGCCCCTTATATAATGCCATTAGTCCATGATTATGAAACTTTCTGAAGGAGTACTAAAAAAGTAATTTCCTCTTGACATGCAACATCGGTGATAATGTACAAATTTAATCCTAACTATCAAATAATGCAAATAGCTACTCAAAATCATCTGGACATTAATTTTGCCAGGCTATAAACTAAGGGAGATACACAAGGGCAATCCTCTGCATTAGAAGGCACAGTTTTCCTTTCATGCATCTAGTACACAATTGTAGGCAAATGTTATTAAGATCAAGTTAGCGACTCTGTAATCACATTACTAAGACAAATGTGCGTAAGAATCCAGCCGTGTGGACCATGGAAAATTGCTTCTGAAAGATATTACCCTATAAAAGTATGTTCAGGAAAATAAAATCAATAAATTTCAGAAAAGAATAAAAGACCAGAGGAATTTTTAAGAGCAGCCATTAATAAATTTCCCAAAAAGGCCACTGCAAGCAAATTCACTCAAAAAGCATACCCAGAACTGGAATATCAATACTCAGGGAGCTGAAGGCCTCTGAATAATTTTCAAATTCTGGTAGAAACACTAGACAGAGTATGACAAATCACACGCTTTCACAAATTCCCTAAAATAGCAGGCTCCCTCAAGGCTCCCACTAGACTGTTTCATTTTTCTATTATCTGAGCACTTCAGAAAGAATTCTTTTGCCTAATGCACACTTTCCAGTGTTAAGACTTTTTTTAAGACTTGAAAGGGAAGCATCCCAAGGATTACAGGGACATCTCAAAGCACAATATAAAAATTAACTGGTCCTTTTTCACCTCCCTTCCCAATACATGTAGTTTGTCACCATATGGTTCACAAACACAAGCTGTAGAACTCAAGTGACCTGTTTTCTTGTAATGAACAGCTCTTATAATAGACAAAAGATGGAATTTATGCTTTATTTCCCTGGAGATTTCAACTTACCCAGGCTTAGTTATACTAAAAAATTCAGTTGTGGTGGGATGACTAACTGCACTGCTCAGAGTATTTCAGTGACCAATGACGTCCTCTATATAAGGTGTCCAGTCATGACCATTTGCTCAGGCACCCAGCTCCTCTCCAAGAACCCACATTGTCATCAGAACTGAGTATGTAATCAGCCCTTCCCATATCTCTCCTTTACGCCTGATCCATTCAAGATTAAAGACAAGAAGTCACAAATTACAAACGATCTAGAGTTGAGGAATAGTTCAATGGTAAAGCACTTGCTAAGCATGCATGAGGACATGGGTCCAATCCCCAACACCACAGTCAAACACACACACACACAAGTTATGATCTTGGAATTGGGCTGGGAAGCCTCTCTACAATATCTGAAAGTTCAAATTTTATTTTAACCACATTCCAAGTATTTTTAGGATAATTCACTTAGGAATTGGAATGGATTTGGTACGTACTAGTTAGGCACTGAGATAATTTGACACAGAAAAGTTGAAAGTATCAAAAAACATTTTTACTTTCTAAAGACTAGCCACTGTCTTTGTAGTCCATGTGTCTCTGGCATTATTTACATTGGAATCCAGGTTTTATATGGGCTTAAGAAGAAATTATCAGATAAAGGCACATCCAAACAGTCTTATAAATAGCAGCATTAATATATGTTTGCTGAGTATGCAGGCTGAAAGGCAGGATAACCGTGAGTGACTGTGGAAGACACGCTCTTCTTGTGACCACACTAATATGCCACTAGATTCCTACAAGCCAGAATTCAAAGTCTGAGCCTCTATAGATGCACTTCATGTACCCTTCTGCCTATTGATGAACATGTCTGTTTCCATATGTGAACATGAGATTTCTTTTAAGTCTACACATAGGATAGAGGACTGCACACATTTCATTGTTTATTTAATAGAAACTGTTCAGAAGAACTTTTTAAATTTTTTGCTTATTTGCTGATTGTTCATGGAGGTCATCTGAGAAACCTGTCTCCAGTGACATAGAAACTGAGACAGCCACACCTGCTCAGGGAATACAGAACCGCAGACAATGAAGGCCCTGTTCTGCATAAAATGGCAATTTGTTTTCAGAACCTTTGAAATGGGAAGTGAAGGTGCAAAGATATCAATTTCTTCATAGGATGAAGGTGGGTTTAGTCAATCCTGCTGGAGCCCTGGCAGGTTGTCCACCCACTCCCCAAACCACAGTAGCTTTCTGGACAGGTCCATACACATACACAGGGCACTGCCTGGAACATTCCACTGTGCCTGAGGACAGAATGCTAGGCAGATGTCTTCAAGGCACATCCTCCTGCAAAGAGGTGGGACAGTGAGAAATAAAACCTCCAGCTTCCTTGCCCAGCCCAGCTGCCCAGAGGAAACCCTGTGACCAGTACATTTTTGTTGGTTCCTCTTTCTTCTTTCCCTCCTTCCTTCTTTGCTGCCTTCCTTCACTTTTCCTTCCTTCCTTCCTTCCTCCTTCCTTCCCTCCTTCCTTCCTTCCTTCCTTCCTTCCTTCCTCCCTCCCTCCCTCCCTTCCTTCCTTCGCTTGCTCCCCAATGTCCTTGCCACACTCCCTATCATAGCCTCAAAAAAACCACTTACAGCCAAATCCTTGTTCCAAGATGTTCTTCTAGGGAGACTTGAAACAAGAGAATGGGTCGTCCAAAGTGGCTGTGGGTCCTATATTGTATAGTGACCTCATGGGTAGGACTGGCATTCCCAGAAAGACTTCTGTGACTGGGACAGAAACCAACGTATCACTTAGCACTTGTATCACATATATCCAAAGTGCAGCATCCCCTGGCTGACATATGGCAAGATGCCATTGTGTGCATAAACATATTTAGTCACCCAAGGCCAATTGTACTACATAACAAGAGGTGAGTCTCTCTCTCTCTCTCTCTCTCTCTCACACACACACACACACACACAGAGTATGTCACTAACATGACAAGTCAACTGATTTCTTCCTCAGATCTGACCCAGCTGTCTTTCAGTAACCTATGTACTTGACCAGACCTCTTTTCTGAATTATCCACTGTCTCATCATTCTATTATCCTACTGTGGTGTCATGCATGAGATCTGCATGTACATGGGTGGGATGCTATGTCATGCACTCAATCAGGAGTTTTGCCTATGCCTCTGTCACTCTCCATTGTTGTTAAATGAGACCATATTGTTAAAACTGTTTCGTACAATGCCCAACTCAAAACAAATGCTTAGTAAATGATGAATCTTCTTATTGACAATAGAGGTTGAATATACTTTACCTGAAATGCTTGGGACCTGAAGTGGTTCAGATTTCCAACTTTTTCAGATTTCATAATATTCATATCATCATGAGATACCTTAAGAAGGGGACCTAAGTCTAAACATGAAATCACTTGTGTGTCATATTATCTCATACACGGCCTAAAAGTAACTTTATACAATATTCTTAACAAATTTGTACATACGTTAAATTGTATTTTGTGTGTGAGAGTGTGTACATGATTGGGTGTACATATATGCACATATATGGAGACTAGAGGTTGATATGGGGTACCTTTCTTGATCACTTACCACCTTACCTTTTGAGACAGGGTCTCTCAAGGAACTCGGCACTCACTAACTGGCCAGATGGCTGGCCAGCAAGCTCCAGGGATCCACCTGTCTGTTTCCACCATGCCATGTTACAGATGCATGTAACCATGCCAAGCTTTCTTACGTGGGTGTTAGGATCTGCACTCAGGCCCTCATGCTTGCGTGGCAGTCACTTTACTCACTGAGCTGTCTCCCCAGCCCCTGAACTGTGTTTTAACTGTAATCTAGGATCAGAGTATAGAATGTTCCATTTGTGGCACTCAAAAAGTTTCAGCATTTGGAGCATTTAGAGTTTTGAAATTAGGAATGCTCAATCTGTAATATTCAAACAACCCTGCACTATCAATATTTATTATTATTATATTATTAATATTATTACTATTTCATAGGTTAGGCAAACTCAGTCCCAAAGATATTCAGTATCTTGCCCAAACCAGGCTGTATACAGAGAGGATCAGAGACTAGACTAGAAATTAGTAAATCTCTTTGCTTAGCTGTCTGTTCCTACTGAACCATGGCAAGAGATACTTACACTAGCCTGTTGCCTCTGACAGTCTTTCTGAGGAGAAAGTTCTCAGCCTGTGCACTGTCCATCTCCCCAGTGGGCCTGA